GCCAACCTTCTTCACCTTAATCCTCTTCTCTGTCCTCAAGAAATGATACCTCACGTCGATGTGCTTAGTCCTCTCATGGTGGACTTGATCCTTGGCCAAGCATATTGCACTCAAACTGTCGCAATACACCACGGCCTGATCATGATGTAGACCAAGATCACCAACCAGTCCCTTCAACCATATTCCCTCCTTAGCATCTCATCCTCTGACTGTGGTGCATAAGTTGAGGATAGATGAACATTTGAAGCACTAGGAGTATTTAAGGGCTTTGCTGAAGACATGCCAAACCTCGACAATATCTTCTGGATGTAGCTCTTCTGTGACAAGAAAAGCTTCTTCTTCGACCTGTCCCTGTAAATCTCCATACCCAAGATCTTCTAAGCAGCTCTCAAATCCTTCATCTCAAACTCAGCACTGAGAAGCCCCTTTAACTTCTGGATATCAGACTTTGACCTCGAGCTATGAGCATATCATCCACATACAGAACTAGATATATCATCGAATCATCCTCTGCCTTGCTGTGATATACACAACAATCATATGGACTTCTGCTGTAGCCCAGCTCAAGCATGTAACTGTCAAATCTCTTCTACCACTGCCTCGGAGACTGCTTAAGTCCATACAGGGACTTCTTCAGCTTACAAACATAGTCTTCTTTTCCCGGAACCTCGAATCCTTCTGGCTGAGTCATGTAAATTTCTTCCTCCAATTCTCCATGTAGGAAAGCTGTCTTCACGTCTAGCTGCTCGAGCTCCAAGTCATAATGTGTCACTATTGCTAGTAGCACTCTGATCGAAGTATGTCTGACCACTGGTGAGAAAATCTTATTGTAGTCAACTCCTTCCCTCTGCGAGAAGCCTCGTGTAACCACCCGAGCTTTAAATTTCATGCCCTCTTTAGAAGTGATTCCTTCCTTCTTCTTGTAGATCCACTTGTTTGTAACAATCTTCCTTCCCTGTGGTCGTTTGACTAGCTCCCAAGTCTGATTCCTGTCATGAGATTCCATCTCATCTCCCATTGCGGCAAGCCACTGATCAGCTTCACCACCCGAAACTGCTTCTCTATAGGACTGTGGCTCACCTGCATCCACTTCTTCAGCAACCTGAAATGAATACGCCACCATGTCCTCGAAGCCATACCTCTGTGGAGGTACCCCTGCAGTCGCTCTCTTTGGTCTACCGGAAGCTATAGACTGTTGAGCTCCTGCACTGGACTCTGAAGTTTCTGGCTCTGCAGAGACATCCTCATCATGTTGATCTTCTCCACCTTGGTGCTCAAACTCACTCTCATTAGAGTTTGCAGCTCCACCTGTTTATCAACATTCCTGCTACCTTCACCAACAGTAACCTTCAACATGGGGTTAAACATAGACTTCTCATCAAATATCACATTTCTACTGAGCATAACTCGATGCTCAGAAGGTGACCAGACTCAAAATCTCTTAACTCCATCTCCGTAACCCACAAATACACCCTTCTTGGCCCTTGGGTTCAGTTTACCCTCATCCACATGATAATAAACAGGACACCCAAAAACTTTCAGTGAAGAGTAATCAGCAGGCTTACCATACCACACTTCATAAGGAGTCTTCAACTCGATACCTGTGTGAGGTCCACGGTTGATCAGGAAGCACGCCATGTTCACTGCTTCTGCCCAGAATCTTCTCTCTAGTCCAGCATTAGAGAGCATGCACCGTGCTCTCTCCAACAATATCTGGTTCATACTTTCTGCAACGTCATTCTGTTGGGGTGTATCTCTACCAGTCCGATGATGGGCAATCCCTTCATCCTTGTAGAATTCGTTGAACTCAGAATTGCAGAACTCCAGACCATTGTCCGTTCGCAGCTTCTTGATCTTCTTCCCGGTTTGATTCTCCACCAATGTCTTCCACTGCTTGAACTTCGTGAAAGCCTCACTTTTCTGCTTCATCATGAAAATCCAAGTAAATCTCGAATAATCATCAATAATAGACAGAAAATACCTGCTGCCTCCAATGGATTCAACTCGTGAAGGACCCCAACAGTCGGAGTGGAGGTAATCCAGTATCCCCTTCGTCCGGTGGATACCCTTCTTGGGAAACTTGTTGCGATGTAGCTTCCCAAACACACAATGCTCACATAATTCCAAATTTTGCACCTTGTGCACGCAAAGAAGATCCCTCTTCGATAAAACTTGCATCCCCCGTTCACTCATATGCCCCAGTCTCATGTGCCAGAGAGTGGTCATATCTTCCTGATGAACCTGAGACGATGCAACTGCAGCAGAACCAGACAACACAGACCCTTGTAATGCATACAAGGTCCCACGCTTCACGCCCTTCAGCACCTTCCTTGAACCTTTGCAGACATACACAACTCCACCTTTTCCTTTGAAGCTAAAATCCTTGCTGTCGAGTAGACTCAAGGATATCAGGTTCTTTGTCATTCGTGGAACATGCCTGACATCATTCACGGTACAGAACGAACCATCATGTGTCCGAACCTTTATGGACTCGATTCCAACAACCTTGCAGACAGCTCCATTTGCCATGACCACATTACCACCATCTATCTGCTCGTAGGTTGTGAAGCTATCCCTGTTCGGAGACATATGGTATGAGGCTGCAGTATCCAGAAACCACACATCACCATGATGTGCCTTCTCATCTACAGCCAGGGCGAGATCGTCTTCAAAACTGTTGTCCACTTCTGCCACGGCAACTGAACCTTGTTTCTTCTGTTGCCCTCTTCTCTTGGGACAGTTGTACTTCCAATGCCCCACTTCCTTACAGTTGTGACAAGCATCACCTGGCTGTGGACCGGGACCCTTGGAATTCTTGTTCGAATTCCCTTTACCAGATTTCTTCTTTCCCTTTCCACCTGTAACAGCCAAACCCGATGCCTCACCACCTATACCAGATCCAGACGCCTTATGTTTGATCTCTCTCATATGAAGAGCAGACCTGACATCCTCCAACGACACGCTTTCTTTACCAGCAATAAAAGAATCAACGAAATTCTCATATGAACTCGGCAAAGAAACCAGCAGGATTAGGGCAGCATCCTCGTCATCAACTTGAACATCTATATTACACAGATCCAGCAAAATAGAGTTAAGTTGTTCGAGATGTTCCCTCAAAAGCGTACCTTCTTGCATTCTCAAGCTGAACAACCGTTGCTTGAGATGCAGCTTGTTGGTTAGAGACTTTGTCATATACAGACTCTCCAGTTTCAACCACAAGCCCGCGGCAGTCTTCTCAGCAGCGACTTCAATGATGACGTCATCAGACAACGATAGCATGATGGTCGAGTGGTCCTTCTCTTCCAGGGTATTCCACTCATCGTCATCGACCGCTGCCTTCTTCTGTTTCTCAGACAGCGGCCCCCACAGCCCTTGTTGTTTTAATAAAGCCTGCATCTTGATCTGCCATATAGCGAAGCTGTTCTTCCCCGTGAACTTTTCGATCTTCATGTTCACCGACGTCGTTCTTCTGAATCGAAAACCCTAGCCTGGTTTCCAGCCGCGGCTCTGATACCACTTGTTATAAACGCGTTGCTACGGATCGGGAAATCGCCGGAATCGATAAAGCAATAATACGAAAGCGAGAATCGAAAAACACAAACACACGATTTACGTGGTTCACTAACACGATGTGTGCTAGCTACGTCCACGGGCGAGAGAGAGCCAATTTCACTATATCGAGGAGATTACACGATTACAGCGAGACCCCTGATTACCAGTCGTAGCGGCTGATAATCCGATTCAAGTCACATCAACACAATAATTTTGTAAACCTTATAAACTATTACAATTTGTCATTTTTAGTTCTTCCTTGTCACCGACTCACCACCTCGTGCAACGTTAGCCACTAGGGTTTCATTGTGCTTATTAGATATTTCGTTATGTGTTTGTAACTTCATAATTGCTTAAGAATAATTTTAGAAACCTTATATAAACTATTCATATTTATTAACGTTTTAATTAATTGAATAAATTTAAATAAGGATCATTAGTTTCGATGTATAAATTCGATGTCCATTTACAAATTGTTCAACAACATACAAGTTAGGTTTACGAATTTTGGTTTAACTTTTAGGTACGGACGAGGATATTCGATTTGGTAAAGTTCAACTAACCTTAATTTACTAGTGGCGTCACTAATTTAGTAAGCGAAAGATTAATATTCACTGAATCGCATACATCATCAATAAATAGAATTGGGGCTAACCTTACAATATAGACAATCTTGATAATATAGTTGAGAGGAAACTTATTTCCAAGAGAGGTTTAGCTCAAGAAGAGGATTAATTAAGACTCCAATACCATAAATAATATATATGGACCAGGAATGGGGAAAACCTTAATGTTCCTTGTATTGAGTATGCGTATTCATTCTCTTAAAAATACATTAATGAAAACATATAAAATTGCAATAAGATAGACAAGAAAAGAAATAACTAGAAGGAAGATAAACACATGATCACTAGGTTATCATCTCGTGGAGAATGACCAACCATTGTACGTACGAAGTGAATGTTTGACTTTGTAACCCTAGTGGTGGCGGTATACACAATCTAACAGGTAGATCCAATGAGAGAGACCGAGACTTCCTCTAGACGTTCTGTGTGCTATACCTTTTTGACAGACTTCTACACTTAATATAAGAAGAGATATATGTATAGTAATCAATTCGACAGCAACTTGCTTTAAGTTGGGCAAATATTGAAATTTCCTTGCGGTGAAAGAGTCGTTAATTAATTAAGAGCTCCTTGGCAAATTGATTAAAGGTTTGACAAATCCAAAAGATATCCAAATACGCATGTTAATGAATTGAGCCGGCCGCCGGCTCTTGCCAAACTTTCCATCCCGGACGACCTCGTCTCCCCGACAACCTTCCTCGAATCCCCAAACAACAGAATCAGCACCACCACCTATAAATACCCAGCACACCTGCAGTAGCCTCATTTCATCAAATCAACATACAATTCCAACATCATCCAATATTCCCTGAAAAGGCATCAATGTCGTCGTCCCATTTCAACAGCTCATCAGCAGCAGCTGTTGCCGCCTTTCATCTTCTGGGCCTTCTCCTATTCTGCAGTTTCTTCCATGGCCATGCAGCAGCAGTCCGCCATCACACGTTTGTGGTCAAAGAAGCTCCGTTCACTAGGCTGTGCAGCACTAAGAACATCATGACCATCAACGGCAATTTCCCTGGAGAGACCTTGTACGTGAACAAAGGAGATACCCTCATCGTCGACGTCGTTAACAGTAGCCCTCACAACATCACCATCCACTGGTACGCACATTTAATGCTCTTTGCTCACTCTAGCTAGCCACCAATTCACAAGAAGTAGAAAATGATGAACGTTAATCTTGACACCTGCAGGCACGGAGTGAATCAGCCGAGATATCCATGGGCAGATGGTCCCGAATACATCACACAATGTCCAATTCAGCCCGGTGGGAAGTTTACCCAAAAAGTCATCTTTACGACTGAGGAAGGCACTCTGTGGTGGCATGCGCATAGCGAGTGGACTCGTGCCACCGTCTATGGTGCAATTGTAGTCTACCCCAAGAAAGCCGACACTTTTCCCTTTCCCAAGCCTCATGCAGATGTCCCCATTATTTTTGGTACGTGTTTTTAACTACATCCATATTTAAATCCATCACTTTGTTTTTTTTTTTTAAATCCATTAAGCTGAATCAACTTTCCTTCCCCTTGAATTAAAGTATAATTTACTACGAATTGCAGGGGAGTGGTGGAAACAAGACATATTCGAGCTATTCGAGAACTTTCTCCAATCAGGAGGAGATCCCGAAGTCTCCGATGCAATCACTATCAACGGTCAACCTGGTGATCGATTCAATTGCTCTACCCAAGGTGCATATATATAAATATTAAATACATTTCCAGCTCTCATCCTAATTAGTCTTCCATTAACCTAATATCAGTCTTGTGTTTACTTCAAATTGTAAGTTGGCTAATTTTTGAAACATGCACTTGCCGCGTTGCAGACATGTTCAAGGTAGCAGTGGAGCAAGGGAAAACATACCTTCTCCGCCTGATCAACGCAGCCATGCAAGACATCCTCTTCTTCTCCGTCGCCAACCACCGGCTCACGGTGGTCGGAACCGACGGCACCTACCTCAAGCCATTCGAATCCGACTACATCACCATCTCACCCGGCCAAACCATCGACGTCCTCCTACACGCCAACCAACCCATCGACAACTACTACATGGCCGCCAAATTCTACTCGAGCGCACGCGCCGCCGTCAACCTCAACACCACCACCGCCATGCTCCGTTACAAACGCGCCGCCGCCAATAGTACCACCACCACTCTCTCCCTCCCAGCTCTCCCGGCCACGGCCGACACCAACGCCTCCGTCAACTTCACCGCCCGCTTCCGGAGCTTGGCCGACAAGAAACACCCCATCGACGTTCCCACAAAAGTGGACACCAACTTGTACTTCACCGTCTCCATGAACGTGCTCCCCTGCCCCAACAGCTCCAACTGCACGGGTCCCAACGGGGACAGGCTGGCAGCGAGTGTCAACAACGTTAGCTTCGTGCCCACGACGTCCATGGACGTGCTGCGGGCCTACTACGAAGGGATCGGCGGGGTTTACGGGGATGATTTCCCGGCAAAGCCGCCGGTGAGTTTCGACTTCACCAACTTGACCATCCCGGCAGTGTACAGGACGCCGGCGACCGGAAATAAGGTGAGGGTGCTGGAGTATAACTCGTCCGTGGAGCTTGTTTTCCAAGGAACCAATTTGCTGGGCGGAGTTGACCACCCGATGCATCTCCACGGGACCAACTTCTACGTGGTGGGGTCGGGGTTTGGCAACTTTGACCGGGTCAACGACCCGAACGGCTACAATCTGGTGGACCCTCCGTTTCAGAACACGATTGCCGTTCCCAGGAACGGCTGGGTTGCCGTCAGGTTCCGGGCCACCAATCCTGGTAAGCATATTTTTTTCATGCCCTAATCATATCTTCTTGTTATGTATAGTAATAATAATATGATGCTGTTTATAAATGAAATTAAATATTTTGAGTGTTGTTAATAATTATACTCTCGTGAAAAAAAAAAAAAAAAAAACAGGGGTTTGGTTCATGCACTGTCATTTGGAGCGTCACGCTTCCTGGGGGATGGACATGACCTTCATTGTGAAGGACGGCAAAGGGAAGAACGCCAAAATGCTGCCACCGCCGCCGGACATGCCCCGCTGCTAACATCATTTCATTGCTCCGTCCAATCCATGCATGATAAAAACCGATACATGGTGATCATAAGATTAATTACTAGTTTGACAATATATAATTAACTGTTGAGGAGGTTGCAGTTACGTACTTCGATTTCTTTATTTATTTAAGATTCTTTTGAGTTCAAAAAGCTGTTATTCATTGATTTCTGTACTTTTCTTTTGATTCGTTTTAAATTTGTTCGCACATTGTAAATCTTATGTATTTGAAGGGTTCATTTCTTGAGCTTTGAATAAAAGGTTAAAGGTCAATGTTATTCTTTATGTAATTGTTCAATAAAAATTCTTGCTCTATCAATCCAATTGCATATATCTCTGTTCTCTAAATAATACTAGTTTGGTGTCCGGCCCGTTGATCAGAATATCATTTGAATATGATATCTTTACGATGTATATCCTAAAAATTTCAAAACACTTGAAAGGTGTATATCTTTTGGGTCTATTTTTAATTTATCTTTTTTTTTTTTGTTGAATCAGATTCTTTTCATTAACGAAAACAGTGAGACCAAAACAGCCCCACCCCAACTGATTACAATGAAGGGGCAATTCCAGTGTAAAATTACTCGTGTAGCAGCTACAAAACACTACTTCAAAACAAAAACTCCCTCCCACTGTACCACCAAGAGCTACCCTCTAATACTACAAAAATGGAAGACCCGCCTGCTGGCAGTTAGGAAAAAAATTCATACATCTCGTTACCAACTCCATACCGTATGGTATCTCCTTTGTTTTTAAGTCATTTTTAAAATATTTGCATAGAAAGAACGAGTTCGTCAGCCACTGTTGTTGCGCGGAAGTCAGTCAAAAATGTCATTTACTAGCTAACAGCCCATAAGAAGATCGATAAGGATCAAGCTGCTATTTGGCTAGCTAACTTTCTTTCTTGATCTGATCTGTGGTGTTGGTTTGTCGTGTGTTCTTTTACAGGGATGGTTCTGCAGTCCGTATTGGTATTGCTAGTGATGTTGTTTTTTGTTGTTTTTTTATCCCTTTCTGTTGAGCAGCAGGGACGGTTTTTGTTTCCTTTCTTTCCAGTAGTGTGCTGGATTGTCTGTCTTTGATTCGGGAACTGGTTCAGATCTCCTGAACCCCTGTTTCTCCTTTTCTTTCCTTTGTACTTGGTACCTTTCTCTTTCTTCTTTCTTCAATAAAATCACCATTATAAAAAAAAATTAAATGGTGAAAAGAATACAGGACCAAAAAATACCACATCATACCTCCCTGGTATATGAGGTGATATCTTGTGGTACACAATGTTGAAAGTCGTAAATGACAGTTAGTATACTCCTACTATCATGTATTCAACCATCCTACAGTTTAGTATGTTTTCATACCACCATAGTATGCTTTCATATCATATATGATATGCTCTTATTTAATACCAATCAATACCAACATGGTATAGACTGGTAAAAATGCCTCAATATTTTTTATAAAATATATCAAAGTGAATATCATTTTGAAGAACACAATTAATCTGATTTATCTGTAAAAAAAATTTAAATTCGACTTAAAATGAGAAAGAAATAGACCGTTAAAAATTAAAGGGGAAAAGACTAAAGGCTTTCCACAAGTGAGAGAGAGGTGCATTTTGTTTTTTTAATTGAGAGGTGCAGATATGGAGGATTTTGATTGGGTTACTCATTTTAAGATAAAGTGATTTTTATATTATCTGTTATAATTAGTTATTCTAATAATAATTGCACATTGTCCAAATAATAATATTTTATTATAAATTATTTTAATGAATATTATTATTTTAAAAGGTGTTATAAGTGTTTCTTTTTCTATCTTCATGCTAACTTTCTACAAATTTAGCTTATCCACATAAACCAAAAAAACCCGTCCGTTCGCCCTTGATTTTTTCATGACCATCTTATCGCTCATTCTCATCATTCTGCAAATTTACCTTAGGGACATCTACGTATACAAGCTCTATATAAATTCCCTCATTTATAATCCGATACGTCAGTCAAAGTTTCACTTCTTGTTGGAGGATCCAGCGTTATATGCAGTTATTCCTCGTAGATTGATCCCCGGCTTTACGCTTCAAGAAAACATGACACACCAACTAGACTTCCCTTTGACTCGTACTCAAGATGGACATACCTTCCTTTGTTTCTTTTGACTAAACAAAAAATTGTGTTACATGTTTGATTTCATTCCTGGGGATTACCTCCAATCCGCGGGATGTCTTTCCCGTAGAAGCACCAAATGGATTACCTCCAATCCGTCGGATAGGGAATCAAATTGGCTTCGTTCCTAGGGCTACCATTCCAAATAAGACAGCCTATAGGACGAATCCAGATGAGATAAAGGAGTTGCAAAGACAAATCGATGAGATTATGGAGAAAGAACATGTTCGTGAAAACATGAGTCCTTGTGTGTTTCCTGTCATCCTTGTGCCAAAGAAGGACCATATGTGGATGATGTGTGTTGATTTCCAAGCAGTCAACCAAATAACCGTAAGTATCGTCATGAAGGAAGGAGACGAGTGGAAGACAGCCTTCAAAACAAAGCATGGTTTCTATGAATGGATGGTGATGACATTCGGCTTAACAAATGCTTCGAGTATATTTATGAGGTTGATGAATCACGTGTTGAGAGCATTCATTGGGAAGTTCGTGATTTTTTCTACTTCGATGACATTCTGATTTACTCGAAGAGCATGGACGAGCACCTTGAGCATTTGAGGAACGTGTTGAAGACTTTGAGGAAGGAGAAACTCTATGCTAATCTCAAGAAATGCATGTTTTTCACCTCAAGCGTGATGTTTCTGGGTTTCGTTGTGAGTAATAATGGATTCAAAATCAATGAAGAGAAGGTGAAGGCGATTCAAACATGGCCTACTCCTACAAACATGAGTGAAGTAAGAAGCTTTCATGGGTTGGCTGGCTTTTATCAACGATTTGTACCCAACTTCAGCATCATTGTCACACCATTGAACTCAATTATTAAGAATAATGTGGCATTTTATTGGGGAGAAGAGCAAGAGAAGGCATTTGAGCTCCTCAAATACAAGCTTACTCATGCTCCTGTGTTGGTGCCACCGGATTTTAACAAGACGTTTGAAGTGGAGTGTAATGCATCAGGATTTGGAATTGGCACTGTATTGATACAAGAGAAGAGGCCAATTGCATATTTCAGCGAGAAGTTTAGTAGAGTTACGCTTAATTATCCTAACTATGATAAGGAGCTTTATGTGTTGGTTCAAGCTATGGAGACTTGGCAACATTACTTGTGGCCGAAGGAATTCGTCATCCATAATGATCATGAGTCTCTCAAGTATTTGAAGGCCCAACATAAGTTGAACAAGAGTCATGCGCATTGGGTGGAGTTCGTTGAATCGTTTCCTTATGTGATCAAGTACAAACAAGGCAAAAAGAATGTTGTTAGACCCAGATATTTTGGTTCAGGTTCGACAATACTATATGAACGATTCGATTGACGACGGTTATGCAAGAAGGAATGAACCTTGAATTAGAAATAATAATAACATTATTATTATTATTACTAGCGCAGGGCCCGGCCCGTTGGGCGGGTAAACTAACCATAAGCGGCGCATTTGACAAACGTTGGAATCATAAGTTAAACCTGAATTAAAGTTCATATAAATCAATCAAATATTTCTGGGAATACTATGTTCACCATTGAAGTACCTTCCTCTCCATTCTCATTGCCACTCAAAATCTTCAATCCTTGCCTTGTAGTAACTCTTGACAATGCAACATATAGCTGACCATGACTAAAAACTTGTCTTTGAAGACATAAACCAACATTGGCTAGTGTTTGACCCTGACTTTTGTTAATAGTCATGGCAAAACAAAGAGCCACAGGGTATTGCCTTCTAATGAGGGTGAAATTAAGACTCTTGTAATGGGTTGATAATGTCAATCTGGGAAGGAAGACGCGATCACCGATGTTGGTACCTGTCAAAATCTCCACCTTAATGAACCATTTACCCAAAGTCTTCACAACCATTCTAGTACCATTACAAAGGCCAACAGTTTGATCCATATTCCGTAATAGAATGACTGGACACCCAACTTTTAGTTCCAACTGATGGTCTGGAAAGTTTCCAATCCGGAGGTTGTTCAAAAACTCGGTTGAATAATCAGCATCCACAACTCCCTCCTTCCCAGGGTCCATCTCAATAGAATCTGCGCTGTAATATGCCACTACATCTCCTGGGAATTGACTTAGAATATACTCATTCACTGCAGAAACCATATCATGGTGTGGAGCCAAGATAGCTCGATTGACTAAATAATTATGATCTCCTGCATGACTACTAAGATCACTGTATATAGAGGCGACAATATCAATGACAGGATCACTCTGTCGAGGAATTACTAATTCCTGAGGTATGCGAATCAAAGACTCACCAAACACATCTGAATCTACTCCGTCTCCTACTTGCAAGAGCCAGTTCTGGAAAGTAGTTATCTCAACAGTTTCCTCCGGAGAGCAATTAGATCGTGCTAGCCGCATATTTTCAACTAACTTAATTACCCTCAAATGGGGCCACAGGTAAGACCTCTTTATAGATGAGTTCACAATATCACCTCGTGAAGCTTTCAATACTATAGGCAAAGTTTGCCGGAAATCTCCTCCAAAAACAACTATCAGACCTCCAAATGGCTTGCCCTGACTGTTTTCATACCGAAACCGCAAAATATCCCGCAATGATTTATCTACAGCTTCCACTGCATGCTTGTGTGACATAACAACTTCATCCCAAATAATCAATGAAGCACGCTGAATGAGCTCTGCTAATTCACTACCCTGGTCAATATGACATGTCGATCTACCATCAAGGTCTACTGGAATGTGAAATCGAGAATGAGATGTTCGACCCCCATCCATTAAAAGGGCTGCAATCCCAGAAGAAGCTACACATAGAACAATCTTATTTTCCGATCGCAATTTCAAGCAAATGACTTTCCATAAGAAGGTCTTTCCTGTCCCACCACATCCATCAATAAAGAATGCATTTCCCTTATCTGCATACACCGATTCAGTAATTTCATCAAAAGCTTTTTTTTGTTGGGCATTGAGCTTGGAAATCATACCTTCAAATTGCTCACGAAGACTTGCAACATTGTAATTAAGTTCTGCAGTGATCAATCGATTAGATGAAGATGACATGTTACCAGTATCGATAACTGGTAATCCAGGAAAATCAGAT